TCGGTAGCTAAAAGAAATGTAGACGATACGGACTACAAAACGAATAAAACATAAAAGAGGTTCCGGGTCACTATCAAAAAAAAAAAATTTATGATGGATGGATGAAGAGGCGTGAAACCCAGCCGAAAGACTGTGAACTCTCTTTGCACATTTTTCCATAGGATATAGTTTACTAGCGTCACACCCAGCTAAAACGGGAATTACTCTTAGTGACGTCTGCAGAGATATAAGGGACCTTGGGGGGAATTCGTTTGATTACCAAATTGATTTCTTATAAATGGCTCTAAGGCTACCTCATCTTCCTGAAGGTGTCGTCAATGAATTAATAAGGGTAGACTTGTTTGTCTTGATCAGATTTCAGTACGTTAACAGTTTCTGAAGAATATCAACATTTTCGTGCAGATATCTAGCTTTATAAGAAAAGACAGATTAAATCTGAAACTGAATTGTAATTAGAGAAATTTGGGAATTTACGAACGAATTTACATGCGTGTAAATGAGCATACGGATATCTACAAAAATGCAAATCATACTACCGCTAACCGATCAGATTTGTATAAATACTTACCTATGAATGTTTGTATGTACATATGTACGGGTATGTACGTAAGTATAATTTCAAAGCGTCGTCTGATAAATTACATTGTTTATTAATATCAGAGCAAAGCTTTTTTCCGAATAGTTTTAAGCTGAACGGCGATCGCAACAGACGTGCCCTGCTCATCGTATATATGTATACTATTGTTAAAAAAAAAACAACGTTGTTAGTAAAATTTGTTGAAAAGAGCACAAAAAGAGTGGAAACAGTTGTACGCGAGCGAATAGTAATACATAATAACAAAAACATGTCAACAACGGATGCTAATGTAGCTAGCAAATCAGAATCAGAGACGCCAAATAGCGCACCAGATGCGGCTGCGAGTGCTACCCCTGCTGCTGCGCGCCAAATACCCGACTGGCTGAAGGCTGACCTATTTGTGGATTTGCTCAAGAAGAATGTGCCCGATTTCAAAGCCATCAGGAGTTTCGACGCCAATCCGGCACAAGGGGCTGGCGAAAATTATGCCACGCTCATGGCCCTGGTGCAACTCGAATTGGAACTTATAAGTATGTACATAGGTTAAATTTTGATAAAAAAGAATTGAACTTAATACTTGTGGAAATTTACGCTCGTAACTCTAGCTGGAAAAACGAAGCAAATTTCCTATATGTTGAAAATACCAATTGAAGCGGTGATGAAATTGATGATGGGCGACAATATATTCGACGTAGAGAGTAACATTTATCGACAAGTAATACCGGAGCTAGAGCAGCTGTACAGGGATGCTGGCGTTGAAGTGACGTTCTCGCCGCAGTACTTTGAGCTGCAAACGCCATCCGAATTCGGTGTTATACTTATGGAAGATCTGCGGCAGCGTGGCTTTAAGAACGCCAATCGCTTGGAAGGTTTCGATATGGAGCACACTAAGTGCGCATTGAAAAAATTGGCGCAATGGCATGCCACTTCAGCAGTGCGCGTCGAAACTAAGGGTAAATATCCAAAAATTGTCAGCAGCGGCATTTTCACAGAAGAGTTTCTGGCGGCGATGAAACCTATGCACTTAGCGTCCATAAAGTTGTTCAATGAGTGTGTGCGAACATATGACGGGCATGAGGCGTACATGGACAGCATGGTAAGTATGCAAGTACATACATATGTATGTATGTGGGTTTGAGAACGAAATTGCAGTAATCGTGAAAATAAGCTTTTTCATTAGAAAGCTTCTTATCTATTTATTCCCATTAGCTCATCTATTTACTTATGTACATATGTATGTAGGTGTGTTTATTTACAGTGGCGGATAGAGACTTCTGGTTGAGGGGGACGGGGGGGCTACTGGGTCAACTTGTCAAATAAGGTTAAATTAACTACACATAGAAAAAAGTAACTTGATTCTTTCAAACAGCGTCATTTTCGGGCTTTCCATATTGACGATTTAAAAATTTTCAACAGAAAAAGTATTTTATAAAGCATGTTCACATTATCGTAATTTACGGCTCATTCGTAATTCATAAACAAATCATGCTGAAGTCAAATAATTTTTCCATGTAAAATTTGCCAGTAAATGCGAAATTCGAAAAAATCGAACACTTTCAAAATTTTAAATTTTTAAACCAGATTTTTAGAAAAGTTTTGGGCATGCATTCCACTAATTCTTTGATATAAAGATAAGATTATTTTAGAACATAACGAGGGCATATAGTCAATTTTGCAATTTTCACAAGATTCAGCTTCCGATATTAAAATCCACCTAAGAATTAAGTAAGTAAGTTATAAAACCTGTCAAAATTCAGATTTATCAACTTTGATAAAATTCTCTATAAACATATTATTTCTCAAGCTACATAACCGATCTATCAGTTGGCAGGACTTTTGACTACGTCAAATAGAACATAGCATTTTTGTGATAATTTTTTTTCTGCGCTTCCAATATTTCATTCCATTTATTTCTTTCGTTATTATGTTTTTTATGGACCAATCTTAAAATAAAACTAGTAAACATATAAATATGAAATGGGGCCTATGGGGTATTTATTTTTAGCTAAAATTTCAAAACAGCCATTTGTTTGCCTGTCAGGTCTCGTCGGGCAATATTCTCTTATAGGGATATATTTTGAATCCTTGTCTATAAAACTCTGTTATAAAATTGTCCGCCTACTTCTGCTTTCTCCGCTATTTAAAGTCGCAGTTTGGGGATCCTTCAAAGGGGATTCCAAGCAGAAATGTTCAACGGCTAGTTAAAGGGAGAGTCGATGCTGGCATAATTAAAGATCGTATATTATTTGTCAAAAAATCTGGTGGAAAAACTCGATGCAAAGCTAGTTTCTTCCTACTGTTTTCTTCATCAGTAAAATTAAGTTAAAAAATATAAGAAAGCGAATGCAGAAAAGTGCGCTCGATGCTCAAGTGCTTTCGTCGGAGCTGAGTGCCGAGATTTACTAAATTATATGTCCTCAAATTTCAGTGCCAGTGAGCGCATGGGTCTTTAGCACACTTTACTGTACCGTTTACCGCCCCCATCGCGCGCGCCCCCCCTGTAACCGCCAGCCACTGTATGTATATGTATGTACAAATTTGTTATTATTCTAGCAAAGGACTCAAGAGCATATTTTTGATGATTTTCGTGCGATGATAGACGCCGATCCAACAGAATTTAACGTTCTAAATCACGGCGATTTTTGGGCTAACAATATTATGTTCCAGTACGATGCTTTTGGCAAAATTAAGGAAACATACTTCGTAGACTTTCAGTGCTCGCGTTATGGCTCTCCGGTGCATGATCTCTACAATTTGTTGCTCTCCTCAACACAATACGAAATCAAGCTGAAACATTTTGATTATTTCATTAAGTATTATCACGACCAGCTGATTGAGTGCTTGAAATTGCTAAGATATCCGAAGAAGTTGCCCGCCTTGAAGGATATTCACATAGCGCTGTACAAATATGGTGTATGGGGTGAGTATGGGAAGGAAATGAAAATTTTGTTAATATATTTTCAAAAATTGTGTAATCGTAAAATTTGTGTTCAATAAAATTTTTACACAATTTTTGATTGACTTAACTATTGACTAGTAATCGCCAACCGATCGCATCAACTTATTTAGCGTTTTCAACGTATTAAATAAACATTGACTTATCTCCCAGGTTTAGCCGCTGCTTCCGGTCATATGGCTATTGTGTTGCTCGATCCAACCGAATCGGCCAGTATTGAAAATTTACTTGGCAATACTCCAGACGCCGTGGAATTCAAAAAGCTAATGTATACAAATAAGCGATATCGGAAACATGCTGAAGCCGTTTTGCCATGGCTTCATAATCGTGGCGCTTTTGAAATGTAAAACAAAACCAAAAAAACAATGCAGCGTTGTGATAACAGAATTATTGATATATTTTCTATGAACAAATAGGTGCAAACAAATATGCATGTGCATATATTTTATCAGCATAGATGCGGCAATATCTAATGAGGCGCAATATTTTTATGTATACTACATTCATATATATTATTTGTAATTTATCTAAGTAATCAAACAAAGCGTACATATATCATATAATAAACAAGCTTTGACTCAATTGAAGGTTATTTTATTTAATCTAAGTGGAATTTCGTCATATTTTTAGGTACAGTATATTTTGCTTTGCTGCCTTTATGCCTAAGTGCACATTTAAGATACCTACCCAAAAATGCGCATCGGAGGCATTATATTTAACATTTATAAAGAAACTGCTCCGATAGATGCATTCAACATACCTGCACATTGGCGATACCTGCCTTAAAAATTGTATCAATTATCAATGAAAGTATTACGTTTACCTGCACGGGCCCTCCAATTACCTAAATTTACAAGCTTTTATTTATTTTACTCACCTCGCAGAACAACGAAAATGGCTATTAAATTATGTAGTTATATAGATATACCTGGATACCTTCCTCATTGAAGTAGTAAAGAAAATTCGCTTAAGTGCCTTTTTTCGGTTAAGTGCACAAGTTTTTCGTGCAAAGAAGGATGTGCAGCTAAGCAAAATATACTGTATGTATTTGTACTTGTATATGCGTGACAGTAAAGACCCGATATGCCTCAGTACAAATCATAGGTAAACTAATTATTAAGTTGGCTCCCTACTCATAAGAGATTGAAGCTTCTTGAACTCCTCCAATTTTGTATTCGTTTTTATTTTAAGCATAATTCTATTCAAAGATATGTCTTCATTATTATTTATAGGATACAAGTGTATTTTTTCTTATGCTTTGTATAACAAAACAAATTAAAAAAAAAACTGTATAGCGTTGGTCGATTTCTGAGTATGAGGCCTTATGTTGGACAAAAGGGGGGAGTATAAAGGACTCAAAATAGAGAAAATTTGCCAATGATTACAGAAGAAATGGGATAAATTAACCGACGAAGACTTGCGCGCCGCTACCGCTTTTCTCTCAAAGTGTTTACTGCTGGTAAACCCAAATAAAGCTTAAAATTTCAAAACTAATTAAAAGGGTTAAATTAAAATCTGTGGAAAATTAACAATAAAATATTTTTTTCGCAAAATCTATAAAGGACCCTTTTATTTTTTCAACAAAACCTGGGTGACAGTTATTCGTCGCCACTCTATATATGTTAGTCAGCTTTGCGAGCATAAACCACGAGAACAGACCTGTTAGCAGCCCCCTGCTGCCTAGCTACAGTCCGGTCTAACCTAACTAAACTTTCTGAGATTGAGGACAATATGTATGAGCTTTGACCATGTATGTATATGTAGCCTTTGAATACCAACCAGCATTAAAGGGGTTGAAAATATTAACATTGGGCAAATTTGATATAATTCATTGTTATTAAAACAATAAAGAAATGCTCTTTGAGCTCAGGGTTATTTTGAAAACATTTAAACACTTGTTCCGAAAAAAAAAATTAAACAATGTCAGCCTTTGGAACTTAATATTGCTTGATGAAACCGTTTGGCGATGATTACGAATTTAAATGAGTAGTTTTCAACATAGGTCATATTTATGAGACTTGCATTTTTTTAAATCTTGTTGACGACCCTTAAAAGTTTTTTAAACATTTTAAAATTTTCATGGAAGTCCTTATTTAGTACATAGAACAAAATTTTTATTTTTTAGAGACTACCCTAGTCCATATTTACATATGTATGTATGGATACTGTGTCAGAATTTCAAAATAATCGGTCAATGACTCAAATTCTATTTCAAAATGCATTCAAGCAAATTTGTTTTAGTACTTTTATGAATAAATATAACCGATTGTAAATTGATAAGGCTAGGATAACATCGTTTATGACAACAAAAAATTTTATGGATGATAAATGCCAAAATTTGTTAGGTCATTGACAAACCACCAGACCATCAGTTATAGCCTCCCGTAGCGTGTGTTATTCAGCTAAAAAGTCGTATGACTTAGATTAGAAATAAAAGCATTTAGAAAGCTCTGGTGATTCAATTAGAATGACAACGCGTTTTCGGGCGGAGGTTTTTGCTTATGTGATAGCCTTCCCGTTTTGGTTGGAAAATGAACGCGCTGCAGTGAATTTTTACCGTACCTGTACGCTAAGCTAAAGGTATGCCTTTTTTCCTCAAATGTATTCAGAATAAGACAAGTCTCGTTCGATTACTTAATTTTTAGTTTATTTAGTACTTATATAACACATTATACATATATGAATATACCAAAGTTTATTGATTAAATAGAACAGTGTTGCACAATAGAAAAGTGATTGGCAATTTCGTCATATCACCATTTTTTTTTATACACCGAAAGCGCCACGATTACTTAGCCATGGCAAAACGGCTTCAGCATGTTTCCGATATCGCTTGTTTGTGTACATTAGTTTTTTGAAATCCATTCCATCTTGCGTACTACTCAATAAATTGTCCATGCTAGCCGCTTCGGTAGGATCCAGCAGCACGATAGCCATATGGCCGGAAACGGCAGATATACCTGTAAGATACATACAAATTTTGTTTACCAAAACTCCTTCTCTAAACTAGAGATCTGTAAGTTGATAATGAATACTTAGAGTACTTCATCGAGTTAGATCAGTACTAAAAATACATTCAGTTGTCCACAAAATAATAGGAGTGCAATGTTTTAACCAGTTTTGACAATTTTTCTTTTGTTTATTTGGTTTGTTATTAACCGACTTCAAAAAAATGAGAAGGTTATCAATTCGTCGGATTTTTTTTTTATGTATGTCACCGCTAACTTTGGACCACGTCAACCGATTTCGATAATTCTTTTTTCATCGGAAAGGTTTATATCCGATTATTGGATCATGAAAAAATTAACGGTATTCCTAAATTTTTATATGATAATTGAAGTCGGTTTTTTTTTTTTTTTAAATATTTTTTTGTAAAAGTCTAGCTGGTTATACAGCAAACACCATATAAATTCGCATTTCAAAATTTGTAGAAATATTATAAAAATTCTGCCAAGTTTCACCAAAATTTCAAACTTTTTAATCAGAATCTTTAGAAAAAGTTTTATATGCAGTTTCATAGCCCATTAAGTTGTAGTAAGAAAAAATGCAAGTTTCAACCTGCGAAAAAAAATCCTCTAATTTTTGGTAATTTTTTCGAAGACTGTGTCTTCCATATAAATAAAAAGTGTCGAACATACTTTTTATCGAAAAAATGCGAAACAACTTCAGCCAACTTAAAACTCGCAAATTATTACACTAATGGGTTAAAAAAATGCATTCCAAAATTTTTTCTAAAGGTTCTGATAAAAAAAATTTAAAATTTTTGTACAAAGTTTGAAAAGTAAATTTATTTGGTGTTTGTGGTATAACCAGCCAAGACTTTTATACAAAAATTGACTAAACTGCTAATACTGTAATACTCAACTGTAAATACGCCCCTCCCATACTCACCCCAAACGCCATATTTGTACATCGCAATGTGAATATCCTTTAAGGTGGGCAACTTTTTCGGATAGTTCAGTAATTTCAAGCACTCAACAAGTCGATCGTGATAATACTTAATGAAATAATCAAAATGTTTCAACTTGATTTCGTATTGTGTTGAGGAGAGCAACAAATTGTAGAGATCATGCGCAGGTGAGCCATATCGCGTACACTGAAAGTCTACGAAGTATGTTTGCTTAATTTTGCCGAAAGCATCGTACTGGAACATAATATTGTTTGCCCAAAAATCACCATGATTTAGAACGTTAAATTCATTCGGATCTGCGTTCATCACCGCACGATATTCTTCAGTAATACTATCGAAGGAACTTTCCTTGAATATGACTTGAGTAAGTTTTTACTTTTTAAAACATTTACATTTACTTACTATGCTATCTATGTATGCGGCATGACCGTCGTATGTGCGCACACACTCTATGAACAACTTTCCAATCGATTCACGCATTTGCTCCATCATCACGAAGAAGTCTTCAGTGAACATACCAGTGCTGACTACTCTTGGATATTTACCCTTAGTTTGAACACGCACCGCCGTAGCGGCATGCCATTGCGCCAATCTTCTCAAGGCTTCCTTAGTGTGCTCCATATCGAAGCCTTCCAAGCGATTAGCGTTCTTAAAGCCACGCTGCCGCAGGTCTTCCATGATTATAACACCGAATTCGGATGGCGTTTGGAGCTCAAAGTGCTGAGGCGAGAACTTCACTTCCATACCAGCATCCCTATATAGCTGTTCAAGCTCAGGTATCACATCCCGATAAATGGCACTCTCTGTGTCAAACATATTGTTATCCGACATCAACTTCTGCACTGATTCGATGGGCAGCTTCAACATATAGGAAATTTGCTTTGTTTTTCCAGCTAGAATTCGGAACAAAGATTTTTTTTTTTTATTGTCATATTTCACGTTTTTAAACCTACTTGAAAGTTCCACTTCCAGTTGCACTGCGGTCATGAGGGTGGTATAATTTTCGCCAGCCCCTTTTGCCGGCTTGGCGGTGAAACTTTTTATGCCTTTGAAATCGGGCACGTTCTGCTTGAGCAGATCAACAAATAGGTCAGCCTGCAGCCAGTCGGGCACTTGGCGCGCGGCAGCAGCAACGGGGGCGCCCGCCACATTAGCTGCAACTGCCCCACTTGCAACTTCTGGCGCACTCTTCAACGCATCCGACTCTGTTGTGCTGGCTAAATTCGCATCTGTTGCTGTCATTTTTACGTTTCGCTCAACCACGAACGTGTAGGCTCTTTTGTCGCGCACAAATTGTATTAAAAAATTTCCTAAACTGAGCACAAAGCACTTCTACCGCAATCGGCGTCCAACGCAAAACTATTCGGAAAAAGCTTGGGTTTGTTCTTAATAAGTAAGTAAGCAGTTTAAATTTTTGGACGGCTCTTTATTATCGCACTGATAATACGCGTGTATATATATGTACTATATTCATATTAGGGATGTTAATTTCTCGGCTTTTTCCGATCCCGCGATTTCCGGGATGGCGTTGTCACAATCCCGGGATCCCGGGATTTAGATATTCATTATCATTTCAACAACTTGAATTGAAAAAATTCTTCTATATTGTTTGAGATCCCCTCCTACCATGAAATAAATAATAAATAAATGAATTTGAAACCTACTTTTTTTATTTAAAGAGGCGTTTTTATTTTTTTTTTCTCTGACCGCACGATTTATTTTGAAGGAATTTGTAATTTCAGAGATATGATTAATTCCAAAAATTCTTTAAAAACTCCAATGCAATGTTGAATTAAAATATGGGTACCAAACGCAATAGGAAATTTATTTATAATTTAAAAATTAAAATTTTTTGGATTCACAAGTACGAATAGGTAATTTTTAACCAGACAAAGGTAGAAGAACGAAACTCGAAGATGTTATCGAGTTTATATAAACCCGTAACACATAATTTTTTCAAAAACAAATATTGCGAAATTTCAAGGATAAACTTTTAAAGTGACATTTTCAATATTTACCAGCTCTTCTGCACCAAAAACTTGAATGTGTTTAAATTCTACAGGATTTTCTCATTACATTTATACCCATACTTCTTCTCTAAGCACACTTCTATGAATTTTTTTAAATCATTTTTGCATTACTAACGTCAGAGTGAAAAACTAAAAACGCAATTTTACTATATTTGGCCCAGAGTTTCGCGAAAATATTGATATTTGTGTTCAAAATTTACTATCGCGCGCTGTTATATATATAATGAGACATTTATAAAAAAGTATTAATTATTAAACGAAAAAAAGAAATATAGCCAATACTGGTCAAGAAAAGGAGTTTCTATTATTGCCATCAATGCAAATTACAAGTCCCGAAAATCCCGGGATTACTTGCTAATTCAAATACATGAGTAAAATAGATACCTAAAATGTTTAAGAGCTTTTTGTATACCTTGTGTGTTTTTATGGTATCGCACAAATTTATTAAATGCTAATTACTTAGTTGTTTATTAGCATTTGGCGGTATTGTCCAGCACGCGCATACATACATACATACACACAAGGGTATATTCTCTATTAGAATTAAAAACTGGATATTTCTTTCTTTCTTTCGTATATATAAATATTGGACATTTCGTCAGATAACTACATTTCTCCAGAATAAAAGTTCACAGTCCAGAGCGCAGTCAATAGAGTTCCCTTTTATAAATTTTCACACAATGCAAACTAGTTGCGGTTAAATGGTTTCTTTTTTACGCATAGTGACGACAGTGGCCACATATTTTGCATTGTTAGTGCAGCTGCACTCGCTTGTGCACAAGAAAAGAAGTTCGTAAGATGTGAAATTTTATTATCTATACAAAAATCAATTTTACAATCAAATGTTTTATAATGAATCTGATTTGGTAAAGTTGTTTTGCCAAAATAAGTTTTCCCTCGTCCTTGTATACAGCTGTTTAATCATATTCTATGACGTCACAGTTTGTTAGACATCAATGGATAAGTCGCTCTCTAATTCTATACTCAACAAGATTCAACGGGCGGGAACAAGCTGCCCAATGCGCTTTGCATACAGCTCTTTGCTGACAATTTGTGCAATGCCGTTGAATCAGCTGATAATCGTAAAAAGATGATTAGGTAATTGTGTCCCGGTTAAAATGAGTGAATTACACAAAAAAAGCGTTGTAAACATCAACAACGCGATTGCTATTTTAATGACGAAGGGATTTTAAACAAAGAATTCCAGCCATGGCTACTCCAAAGAAGCCTCGCATTTTTACCAACTTCAAACTGGCACTTAGTTATACTACAATGCAAATTTATTGAATTTTCTTGAGTTTCGCACAAAGTCCAGAAATGACTTACAATTTTATTTTTAAAAAAATCGCGAAAAAATTTAAGTAAAAAATGTGGCATACATTGTGAAAAATTCTCTGTGCCAATAATTTAGTGCGGCACTGTACATATGTACATATGTACATGCTTACCTATATAGAAATTTATAATTGGGTATGATTTTTATTTCAATTTTAATTTATCTTTTAAGTTATTTTCATGTTTTATCATTTAAGTATCGTTTTAAGAAAATGTGTATGTATCTATGAAATTTTGTATTGTTTTGTTGTTCTAAATAAAAAACTTTGAAAGTAAAGCATTGAAGTTGATACCTACCCTTTTCCTAAAATTGAGTGTCCCGGTTTCAAGCATACAAAAGGTGGAAAGCCTACCCTACTAAAGCTCTATAAACCGAACTTAACTTTCGGTTCGTGGACCTTTTTGGGAAATTTGAGTCAAACTACATTAAAAGGATTGTAACACATTAGATTCGGTAAGACACATGTTCTAACAAATTATTCCGACCTTTTTCTTTTTTATTTGAAATTCCGTCACAATAGTGGCTCGATCAGAAGCTATGTGTGTTAATCGGTTAATCGAATAGAAAAAGTTATTTCAAAAAATAATCGAATACCTTTAATCGATTAACCGCTCACTTTCGACTAACCGTTCATAATCGACTAGTTGTTTTCATTCGATTACTTGACAGATTCGACTATTCGAATAGTTGTTTTCTTTCAATATTTCATAAGTTTTGCTGTTGATAGGCTTTGAATATTTATAGTACCAAAAATGGTGTGGTACCGCATGAATTATGATGGTCTCTTGGCGCTCGTTTGAAATAGTTTCGCCATCTTCGTTTTTTCTTCTACGCTTGAAACTTTTTGCCGGGCTTGGTTCGGCACATTCACTTTGGCTACATCTGTGGTCCTGGGGAGGATAAACTATAGAAAATTACCACTTATTAGTTCGTTAACATAAACATACATTTCCAGGTCCTGCTCCTTGTTCCTTTTACGAATGGCCTTCAAATGGGTTGCCAAAGACGATGTCGAATTATTATAGGCCATATTTTGTCCACATATTGTACACATGACTTCTTTTCCACCTTCGGAGTTAGAAAAGAAGCTCCACACCCAGCTACGCTTACGTAAACTCATTTTGGATAAAGCAAATTTTTGGTTTTGAAGTGAGAAAAAATTTGTATTTAAATACGTTTCACAATTCGAATAATGACAGTTAATCAATTGCACGACTAGTCGAAGTTAATGAAACGATCGAACACTTGCTATTCGATTTTCAGTCAATGCAAAAGTTGCTACTCGACTATTCAAATAATCGGTTAACCGGATAATCGACTGTTAACAAGAGCTCTAATACATACATTAATGTATGTAGTTATGTAACATATTTAGTCCAGCTGCTTTCGCGCGTTTTTTTCGTTTTCGGCTGATCTTTTGTTCTCCATTTCGATTTCTTCTGGCTCGTTTGCACATAAAACTCGCTGACATACTTCTCTTCAGCAGTTTTAATGCGTTACTTGGAAGTTGTATGAAGAAAATTCAGCTCTTGAAATACTTTTGTCTTCTGACTTACTCATGTACTCTAAACAGATTGCATGGAAACTTCGCACCATTAACAAAGGCAGTGTACTAATCTACGAAAATAGTTTTAGATCTCGACACTTAACAAACTCCTGTTTCCACTACTCGGCGCAAAAAAAATACATATCAGCATCCGTTTTTCAAAAAAAAAAACTATGGGTTTCTTTTGTTCCATTCGCTATTATTCTGGGGGTGGTATCAGAAAAATACCAAAAAGTTGATTTTCCTGTGTAATTTTGGACCACCTTATCGTACAGTAATTTACACGGATGATTCAATTGAATCTGAAAGTAAGAAGCGAGATACAGTCAGTCAATAAAGAATTTTCTTTAATTTTGCACAAGGTTTAATTTTTGAGGTTTTTGTTGTAGAATTAACCATATTTTTATTAGCGAAAAATAAAATACTTGAAACATAGTTGCCCGTATTGTGAAAAATAAAATTCGCTGTACCTAAACTTTATTTACTGACTGTGCATATAACAGGTGGGATATCACACGATAACTTGCTGGAACCAAATATTGCCGACATCAGGGGCTTCAATATCAGGCAACAAAAGGGCCGCTATTATGATGCGGCAGCGCTCGCCGTAGACGGTTATTTTCTGTCTTCAGCGCCAGCATTTGAATGGAATTACATACAGTCAGTCAATAACGGGCAACTATTTTTTAAATATTTTATATTTCGATAATTTTTTTATAAAAATATGGATAATTCTACAACAAAAAACCCAAAAATCAAAGTTACACACCTTTTGCAAAATTAAAGAAGATTCTGCAAAATTTCACTCAAATATTGCACTTCTTATCTACGCTCTCTAGAGAAAAGTTGAGTATGTAGTTTTATAGCCCATTCAATTTTAGTATAACAAAGTGCAAGTTTGAGGTGGCTAGGACTTACCATTGATTTTTAGAATTTTTTATTTTTTTTTGAAGGTGTCGCTCATTTGCTCCATATAAAATAATGTTTGATAATTTTTTAAATTATTTGAAAAATAATTACCCGTATTGTAAAAAATTCTCCGTACCTAAACTTTATTGACTGACTATATTTTCAAAAATTATATATCAGAAATTGTTATTTCGGGCAATAAAAAATATTCAAACATCCAGTAGTGTTTTAAGTGTTTTATTTAAAATTAAAATGCGAAGGGATGGATCACCCCTTAATTGAATGGGAAAGAAGAAATGCTTAAAAATATTATAAAAATGCGAATTGCTTAAGCGCTTTTGTGAGCACTAAACTGTGTGTAAACTTTTTATGGGAGCTTTTGTATGCCACAAAGCTAAGTAAGTGTTAGTGAGTATTGCTTGGCGTCACAGCCGAGAACGAGTTTTCTGGTGGCAGCTATAGGTTAGTCGTCGTCATTTCGTATTACGCCGGTCGAGAGTACAGCTGTTTTGCTATAAGCAAATACATACAATGTTCAGAAATGTACAAATATAAATTTTGACGCGTGAATTTTCGTTGTTTTTTTTTTGTGTAATACTTCGTGCAAAGTTAAATATTTTAGAAATTTTTGTAAATAGGTTAATAAATATTGCTCTGCAATCTTATGTAAAAGTGTTATTGTATTAGTTCCTAACTTGTGCACCCAAACGTTTTCGAATACTTCGTTATCAGTAGGTAAAGAAGAAATCGGCAAAACCAAATGTGTGTCATCGATTGTTGACATATGGATGTGTGTTTTATAAGTCCACCAACATTTTTCTAATAATTACGTTCGATTATCGGCATGCCAGAGGAAAATATTTACTAATCGACAACAAACAATTAAAACCAGTTGTCAATAAAAAAAAAAATAAATAAAGTGAAAATAAAAACAACAACCTGCTTTGCGTATGTATGTATATATATGTTTGAGAGTATGTAAAAACTTAAAATTCGTTTCACGCAGCGATAATATATGACTACCTATGTAGTAGACGTGCTTGGAAACGCGTAGTCGCACTCCTACCTAAAGCGTTTACAGTTGAGTCTATATGTGCAAATGTATGGATGTTACGCTATGTGGGAATATTTATATTTCTGGAGGAATATACATATCTACATTTGTAAAAACAGAGTAGATAGAAGCTTCAAATGAGAAGATAATAATTAAACGGGGAAACGCAAGAAATGTTGGAGCTTTTACGTATTCACACATCACGATGCACCAGCGTTGCCGTTTTCAATTCGCTTAATTACCCAGAAAAAAAAAATCCAAATTACCCACAAATCCCCACCCACAAATCAAATACCGCGCAAATTCTCCATAAACGAAATAAATGTTTTTAAGTTTAGTTTCCCTCACAAAGCATCATATTACCCTTTAAAATATATAATATATTTTACTTATTACAATTCTCTGCATCTTTTTTTATTAAGCATTAAATAAAACATTAAATACACACAGCAATAATACAATACTACTATTGTTGCCAGTTTCAATTAAATAAAAAAAAAACATTTAATACAGAACAACAGTACACGACAAGAATCAAAATTAAATAAGGAAACTCTATGAAAATTATTTCGAAAATTTTTATGAAACTAAAATTTTTCATAGAAAATTATAACAGAGCAAATTCCCCGAGTTTACCCGCAAGATATAGTTCCCCAAACATTACCCAAATTATTATTATTTCCCACCAATTTGGGGAATTACCCACAAACGGCAACGCTGTGCTGCACACATACTAAATACAAAATTACTGAGAGCCCATGACACAGAGCGAGTGCCTTCGTCAAAACAAGTTATTTTATTAGATTGTTTTTTTTATTCATTAGTCCCCTTTCAGCCACCGTCAAGTCTTGCTTTCAAGTCTGCTCGTTCGTAGGCGAAGGAGGTGAGAAGAGAGGGGAAGAGTACATATACCTCCGTACCGTCAATTCGTTTCAAGTTTTCTTGTCTCTTTTGATTTTTTTAGTTGCTTCCCATTTAAAGAACCAATGACTTGAATTCAATTAAAGTTGACGCGTGTGGAAGCAAATAGAAAACACAAAAGAGAATGCGAAAAAAATTGCTTTCAAGACTTGACGTCTTGTCTGAAAGGGGACTTATTCCTTTTTTTTTTTTTGTATAGATATCGCTGCCTCCACTGGCGATTTTGTTTATTTTTATACTCATACGTCGATCATCTCCATCGTTGGCTGACTCTTGGCGCTCTGAGCACTCACTCAACAAATGTGATGAACTGATTAAAAAATAAACTCATTGAGTAAAATTTTAAACTTTTTATTAGTACTGACATTAAAAACTCACACCATGCGGCTACCAACGCTCAGTGCATTCTCGGCTTTTCGCCAAATACTAGTCCAACAAGTTCAAAACACAAACGGTGGCGGCGCATCTCTTCTACTGCAACAATATCGACTGAAGCATAGTGGCTCCAATAGAATGGTTTCCCCAGCGCCTTTCACAAAAGATTTCTTCTTCCGCCAGGTGTGTCAAATAAATAAATATATGTAACTGTGGAAAAATTCCACTAATCGGTATTATTTTTCTGATAACCACCCACCCACCCACCAGCTCTTCGACGAGGCCACCTGGACCTACAGTTATCTACTCGCCGATGTGAACACAAAAGAAGCGGTCATTATTGATCCAGTGTTGGAAAAGGCGAAACGTGATGCAAATCTAGTTAAGGAGCTGGGTTTTACGCTTAAATATGCAAGTGAGTATATATTTGGAGTGAGTAGTAGGTATGCGAAAGGTGTTTGGTTTTGGTGCTGTTTTTGTTGCTATAATTGAATTAGACGTGAGACGTGACGCACTCGTAATTTTCGAACATTGTGATGAAATCTTCCACAAAACATGACAGATGTAATTGATAAGTCAAATGAGTACATACCCTGCAGGAAAAAATTATCAATTGATAAAAAATTACCCACTTGTGGTTAGCTTTTTAGCGGGATTGCTATAAAATATATAACTTGTAGTTTGTTACGAAAAGCTAACTTAGAACTAGTTGACAAGTAATGCAGGAGATTCTTTTCTTTAAACGCGTTTCTATTTCAATATCCTGCACTTCGCAAATACTTTTTCGAATTGAGGACAAAAAAGGAAGATCGAAATTTCATACTATCATTTTGTAGTTATGTATGTCTGACGAAGTTCGAATATGGGACCCCTTACAGCAGAATATGTAAACAAATATGAAATGTAATAAAATAAAAAAAGTAAAAAAATAAAAAATAAAATATTTTGTTTTTCCTATTGATATTTTGTGTCCAAAAGTAGTTAGTTACAAGTTAGTTACATCAAATGCAGAGGTTACCACCGTTGGCTATTTTGCGGCCATCGCCATAGTTAGCTTTCGTCAAAGAGAATATACAGATATTAGTGATTTTTAGCTGCTTCCTAATCAACTTAAAGTTAGCTTATAGTTAGACACATTTCCTGCAGGGTATGTATGTATGTATTGTGCAAACAAAAGATCTTGTCTCTGATTACTGATTTTATCAAAGAAAAACAACTAGTATTTCATGTTATTTCTCTAAAGTTTAAATGTAGTCTTGTAGTATCAGCTAATTTTTCTGAAATTGTTTAAACTAGATTGTAGTTTTTTGTTTTAATAAACCTTTTAAGTTAACCGGCGAAAGCACACTGAAAACGAGAGTCATATTTTTTTTTAAGAATTATGTAAAAATTCACCTGAAAGAAATTGCGATACTTTTATTACATTTTTATATTTTTACATACAGTGACAAACAAAAGTGTTGGCACAGAAAATTTTTGGCAATGCGTGCAAACTTTTTTATTCCGTTGCGTCGAAAAAATGCTGAAAATCAATGCGATTTTTCAGCAACTTAAACTTGCACCTTGTTATATAAAAAATTGGATGGGCCATAAATATAAAACTGCATACTTAGAATTTTTTAAAAAACGTCTGATTATAATATTGCAAATTTATTAAATTTTCCTGGGTTTTCCACAAACTTTTGAGATTTTATTTTTAGGTTTTTTTTTTTTTTGTAATATAAACCATATTTAAAGGTAAAATCGTTCCTTCAATTCGTCGGCCATCGGATTTTTTTTGAAGTTTTTCTACCTTATAAAATTGAAAGTTTCATAGCAACTCAAAGGCCAAATAAAAATAAAACAAAACATAAATAGATGAAAATATTAAATATTTATTTCATTTGAGACTGTGAGTGAGAATGTGTGCGAGTTTGAAATTTTGAAAAATTCTTTTCTATGTTAGCAAACTTCAAATATGTCCAGGTCCAGAGGTTTTATCTTTAAATTTTTTGTATCAGGATGAACTATATTTTTATATAAAAAAAAAATCGAAAAAAATTTGACTTAAAAATCTTTCATACATTGCGAAAAATTCTGTGTGCCAATACTTTTGCTTGTCACTGTATGTACATACATACATACATACATACATACTTACGCAGCGTTATTTACTTTTTTTATTATTTCTTAATTGAAGTACGTAATAGTTATTCAGGGAGACACTCGCTAGGCCAAAAAGAATTCAAACGATGAATTGCAAACCATCAGCTTTATGTAAAAAGTACGTAAATACAATAAGGAGTCTCAGTTGAAATTCGTAGAGAATTTTAATGAAGTTAAATCACTCTAATTCAATAAAAGCGAAAGGAAGTATTTGCTGCCTTTAAGTAGGGTAGGTCCCTAACCCCTTGTTACACTCTGGGTGAAACAATTTTATTGTACAAACGTTTTGAAAAGTTTTAAAATTATTCATACATAAATTTCCTTAAGCTCAATTAAAAACTTATTTTGTTAAAAAGTCAGTTTGAAGTTCATCTTAATTAAATAAAAAATTAATGGCACCAAAAGTTTAAGAAACACTGCCAATTACTTAAGTATTATACGAACATCACCAATAGCAACAAATTGACCAAAACAAAACGCCAGGCCGCAACCACGCAACGAAGACATCATAAACACATATCCTTACTTGCACGTATTTACTACATATTTACCTTGCATTATCTTCCAATCCAATCGCTTCGTAGTGAACACCCACATGCATGCAGATCATATCACTGGCACCGGTTGGCTCAAGCAATTGTTACCCGGCAGCAAATCGGTGATTGCCAAAGCGAGTGGTGCCAAGGCCGACATCCACCTGGACGAAGGTGATCCGGTGACTTTTGGTCGACATCGCATCGATACATTGGCCACACCTGGTCACACCAATGGTTGTATGTCGTATGTGATACATGAACAGGATTGCATTTTCACCGGTGACACGGTGTTGATACGTGGTTGTGGACGCACTGATTTCCAAGAAGGTGATGCCGGGCATCTCTATGATAATGTGCATAATAAAATATTTACGCTACCCGACAATTTCCGCATCTATCCAGCGCATGATTACAAGTGAGTAAATATTAAATTTTTCCAAAAAAAAAAAAGATTAATTTTTAACGAGTGACCTTTCTTAAAACTTTTCAGAGGCACAATGGAGAGCAGCGTTTGGGAAGAGAAAACATATAATCCACGCTTGACGAAGACAAGGCAGCAATTTATTGATATCATGAATAATTTGAATTTGCCTTATCCAAAGAAGATTGGTAATTTGATTTGACTTTTTTTGTGTTGTTTATTTGGAAATTAAAATTTTGCTTTACTATTACAGATGTTTCGCTACCGGCTAATCGCGAATGTGGTGTCCATGATATTCCAGATAAATAATGTTGATTGGCTTTTGTTATGCGAAAAAAAAAATAAAGCAACGCTCAAATATGGTTTCAAATGGCATAGAAAGCACCCAAACTAGCGAGTCATGGAGGGCTAAAGTATTTTGAAGGCTACTGCTGTTAGCTGTACAGCAAATTCTTTTTAAACGTTTCCTAAATATGTAGAATTAATCAAAAGACATTGTAAAAAAAGAGTTTTATAATAAAAAGTGAAATAAAATATAAATATTTTTATAAGAGGGCCTCACAATATATCATAATTAGTCGATTGGTGAAAACAATATTTAGATATAATTTAGAATTAATTTTGCCTCCCATATCTTTCGTTTTATGCCCACATTGTATGATTTTATCTTCCGAAAATGTTTAATTAATTTTTGATTATAAATAGTTTGGGTTAAGTTAGGTTTAGGTGGTTGCCCAACGATGCCCTTGGGCTATAAGTTTCAGACTTTGCGACACCAATACGAATGGTGGTAACTCCTAAGCTATAAAGAAAAAGGCAAATTTCAGCACCGAATAGCTTAATTGGAGAGTGTAAGCCAAGCTATTTATACTACAGTCTCTCAAAATGTGAAGCGCTGAGGTCATTGTCTTAGCCTGTGATGTCTACACCCATTTGAATTGAGAGTTGCAGATGTTTGAGCCCAACTATGTAGACTCCTTGATTGGCTCCCCTTCTTCGCTGACACGTCCGTCCATCCTTCCAAGAGTAGTCCATTTGCATTCAAAGGTTCTCCCGTTCCCTCTTTTCTCGGTGAAACCCATTGGAAGGTGATTTTCTTTATCAACTCATCCTCAAAGCAGAGCTCTCCAACATCACCATTTCCGGTTACCTATATAAGTTTGACCAAGAAAAAATCAGAAGAACCTGAAACAGAGCTTAAGCATTCCCTTACTAGCTTAGAGGACACACAGCACAACGGTCTCACTCACATTGACTGTTTCCTTAATTCCATCTACGACACTGCTCCCTTCAAAAAACCTCGTCCATACTTCACCGCATACGTGTGGAAGTGCGCCTTGAGGAAATGTGTATAAAAAAGAACTCATTGATGATAGTCTGTCTGTGAGGTGATCGTTGTCATAAAATCGAAGACTCCAAGAATACTAAATGGTCCAAATCCTCAGTCACTTAGGCACCCACTGGCCCAAAATCTGACCGCTGCCCTTCATTTCAATTTTCAGGGTGGAAGTGCTCCCAAAAGCCCCACTGTTCCTAATAAGGGCGGCCCGTTGTACCCACTCCAGCTTTCCGACTAGCGTGGTATTCCACCAGACGTGAACTCCATGAAGCTATGGGCTTAACTATGATTTCATAGAGACAGGAAATAAATAGCCCTTTATCTTACAAATTCTCCATCTGAAGCAGTGGAGCAACTAATGACTTATTTACTCCCTCCTCAACTGAGGAGTTTTACTAGTTTTAGTCCGAGGAATACGGGACTAGACCTATCATCAAACCAAAGTCATAATAACCCTTTTTAAGAATAGCACTTTTTCCGAAAAATTGTTTAGTTATATAAATTACATAATCTGCTATTCTTATCTAAATTCATTACCTTATATTTTACCTTTACAGACCATTCTGAACCCACGTTCCAACAGATGCAACGCACACAAAGATAATAAAAATGTCGAAACGAAAATTTCCGAAACCAAAACAAATCTTATTAACAACGCACAGACACAATGCGCAACGACTGGACGCCGACGAAAACTCTCCTCGTTGGGTGGTACGCTCTCCGCGCGATCCTGTCGCAGTGAAACGAAGGAGCTGCGCTCGGCGCTGCAAGATCGCGAAGCAGTCATACAAAATCTACGCATACAGTTGTGCTTAGGCAAATTGCCGCGCCCCACAGGACCACCGCTGGACGAGAGTGAGAAACCCGCGGCAGAACAAAAGCTGCAGAGACTAAAAGCCGAAGCGGAGAACAAGAGAATCAAAATCAAGAACTTGAAAACTGCACTGGAGAAACTAGATATAACAGAGTGAGTTAAGAGCACTGATGAGCTTACCAATTGTTTTCTTTCTAACTCCATATTTACAGTAATATTGATACACGCATACGCCAGGCGGAACTGGAGTATGCGCTTGGCCGCGAGGAACTTCAAATGTTATCGATTGTCGAGGAAGCGCGCGCATTGCAAGCCCGTTTGGAGAAGTCAAAACCTGAAGTGCAGACCATTTACAAGTAAGAACTTATTTCTTAATCGTATACACCAATTATCTAATACCGCTCCCTTCTGCTAACTCGCAGCATACTCAACTCTGGCGCCACACTAAGCCTACACGCGGTCCATGCGACCACCGGCCGCTGGTCTGCACACACCAAATCCGACCAGCCCGGCTTCTTTGTGGAATGGGCGCTCGAAGGTGACGGCCTGTACAAAGGAGATCGCATACTCGAAATCAATGGAAATCTTATCGCCTGTCGCACCAAAGAGGAACTGCATAAAGCGATAGGCAATTCAGGTAAATGCCAAATGGTGGTGCTGCGCAATAAGTGTGCGCCGATACCGCAAAAGCAAATAGATCAGGAGAAAGAGAAGGAGAACAATATGCGGTTGCAGCATCGTATTTCCTATCTCGAGGAGCAAGTACGCGAGCTGCAAACTGCTAAGGAACTGGAGATCTTGCAACAGGTACTATCCCAGCAGTCAAAGGCGCTGGCGCAGATTCCACTACTGCAACCTTCAGCAGCGCACATAAATAACGGTACCAATAGTCATGTGACCAGCATCAGCATCTCATCGCCACCGTCCACGCCGCCCGACAACAAGCCATTGGTTTTCCAACGCGGCAACTATATAACCACTTTGGTTGGCGGCAAGCCAATTGAGCTGGTTGGTGAGAATTGCGAACAAAATGGCTTGAGCAAAAGCAACACGGTGGCGCACGTTACCAAAACGCTGATCAAGGAGAATACACAAATTGATATGCATCATGAGCGCGCACAACGCGCGTGCACAGCGACGACTACCTCATACCCTTGCCTGCCACCCAAGTCACTGTCCGCTTCGAAGATCTCCATCAACAGCGATTCCGCGTACATGCAACAAACGCACTATCGACGCAGCGAGAAGGAGCGGCATGCACGCGACCGTGAACGCGAACGCTATGATCGAACGGCGAGCAAGGCTAGCGCGCTGCAACACCGCGCCAATATGCAAGCGCGCAGCGTGGAACACTTGAATCACTACAATGGGTAAGTTGAGCGCTTTATGATTTTGCCCGCCTGAGTAGGGTCTAACTAATGTTGCCTTTTATTTGCGCAGCATTGAACGCCGACGCGACTGCTCTGCCACGCCGGACAGGCATGCGCATGTGCCCACCGATATGCGCAGCGTTAAGTCGCTAGATTTTGATAGCGAGCATGAAACCAAACCCATCAGCGACACAGTATCAGAGGTGCGCGCTGTCCGTCCGACGCCACCAAAGAAGCCGCTGCGTTTATCACTGCAACGCGCCCAGAGCCTACAGACTGTCGAGCTGACGCCAAGCTCTGATTCGGAACGTAAGCGCCCGATGAAGCGAGCGCATATCAACGATAAGGCGCCCGGCGAACGAGAGGGCGCGATACTCATCGAGAATTGCGCACCACCAACGCAAACGGCATCGCTGGGCAGACCGCGGACGAATATATGAAGGTTGCTGAATGTTCTCTTTAAGCGCAATGAAGAGACACATTACTAGTGAAGGTGAAGGTGAAGTTGGTTAGGAAGTGGCTTAGGAGATGGAGTTATTTTATAGGCAAAGTAGTGTTAAATATATCAAACATGTTTCGGGGGCGGATGAGTGCAAGATTTGTTCTACATAGTTTTAAGAAATAAATTCTTTACCAAATATTGAAAAATATTTCAACATTTAATATTAAGCGTATATGTAAGTGTGCAAGGTATATGGAACGGTAGGCAAGCTGGTCTAAATGCAAAAGTTAAATTTATTTAAGTTTTTAGTAGTAACACTGCATACTTGCTATCATTAGTAAGTTCAAATAATAATACAATAAAAGTGTACAAACAATTTTTTAGCACAATTTTGTAATACAAATTAATTTGCATGAATGTAAATACACAATCAAATCATAACGAAACTGCAAGTGTGTTTTTTTTTCTTTTTTTTTGTAAACTGCAAAAATGCAGCTCAGTCCACCTACGCGCCCTTCTTCTTTATTCTTCGTTAAACTTGAACGAGATTTCGTAAGCTATGCGCAATTTAATACGAGCTGCGTAGTTCAATGAGCAATTTACAGCCAATTCGCACGTCTTACACATTTTACACATAATGCGCGGGCGGGCTGATTCGTGACTCTTCATTTACAATTGCTGATTTGCATGTAAGTATCTATATACATACTACTTAGTATAATTATATACACGTGGTTACATACTTATGTACATTAGGGTGGTACTTAAATGTAGGAAGCAAATTTTTACATCTGCACATTTCCTAAGCCTCAGCCCCTACGTCAATGCTACTATAATCGAAGATATCAAATCTAAATTTTGGTCCTGATTGGAGACGGTTAAGGTCTGTCGCACAGCGAGCGAAGTTCAGTTTCCTCTATGGAGACTCAAAAAATTTAAATTAACCCTTTTTTTCATCTCATACCCAAATTTGATACTACTATAGTCGAAGATATCACATACAAATTTTGGCCTCGATTGAAGTCGGTAAAGGCGTGTCGCACAGGGGTCAAAGTTCAGTTTACCCTATGAAGACGTCTTAACCGACATGATAACCGATATGTGATATACTCGCCTTTGGTAGTATCGATTTGGGTATTAACCCCAGGAGGTTCAACCAGGTCTGTGCAGACCTTTTGCACATAAACGTGTGTATAACTTTTTCGTTTTGCGTGCTAGAGACGAATCCTTCCATGACATCCTAGAAGCGGCTACGGCGAACACAATAAGCATAAAGTCAGACCTCTTTTGAGTTTAAGTTGGGTTTTATTCGTATTTGCAAACGCAATGGCTCAAACGGACCAAACAGGTCTGTGCAGACCTATGTGTGGCATGAATGCTGGAGCAGGCGTTTTAAAAATATTTTGACCACGGGCAAACCAGTTATAAGTTTTATCGCAAATACCTTGCCCCATTACAGTTATTAGATGAGCATTTTTTTTATTTCGCCGATAAGAGTTATAACCCAACGTTTATTTTTTACCTTGCCTGATAACCTTTATGCCGGAGAAATATTTTTTCCGTTGCTCATAAGAGTTATTTCGCAACATTTTTTTTTACATTGCTTGATGAGAGTTTTTTACTATTTCACTTTTGTTTTCATCATATTTATCTTCTACTCCATCTCCATCTTCATAGATATCGTTACCTAATAGCTGGTATGAAACCGTTTCGATT